TGCCCTCCAGACTCTGAGTGTTGGCCATAATCTCTGGATTCTGAGTGGGGGCACCTTGACCCTGGGCTTCAGTGCTACCTTCCAGGCCCACTGGAATGGCAACTCTGCTCCCTCGGCTTTGGATGCCCCATTCTCTTAGTCTAACTGAGTGACATCCCTACCTCCTTGGCCCCTGCAATCCCAGTTCTTCTGCCTCTTGGGCATGGAAGCGCCACTCTCTCAGCTTTGGGTAGCGGATTCGGCCACATCCCCCTGGAACTTGTGAATGCCAGCCCCACACTCTGAAACTGAGCTGGTAAAGATCTGACTCTTCAAAGCCTAGGAAGCTATGGCAACCACCTTTTGAAACTCCAAAGGCCATAGCCCCCCTATTTGAGGCCCTAGAGGTCTTGGCCCTACCCTTTGAGACTGAGGCAGCTCTGCTTCCCATGGTCTCTTCAGCTTCTGTTTCATTTTTCCTTGGCCTCTCAGCCCTCTGGGCTTCTTGGGCTGGCCTGGCCATTGCCCTGCTTAGGTAAGTGTTACAAAACTCTTTAGCACTACCAATAAGCACCCAGAGGCACTTCACTCTGTCAGTAAGCCTTAAACCAAAGGCACTCAGCTCCCTTGATCCATAGGTGGGCAAGCCTAGCTCCTTTGACAAGTGCTGGGGACACCCCCCTCCACTAGGAAGCTTCCTGCCTAAAGCTTCCTTCCTATTCTCTTGCTCCTTGGGTCAGCTCCCTGCCATCTTGCTCTCGTCTCTTGGTTCTGCTGCTGCTGTTTCTCTGCTGCTGCTTTGTGGCCAAGGAGGCCATTGTCCCACATATTTGTGCCCCCCAAATATATGTCCCATATATGTCCCATATATTTTGGGGGAACATAATTCCAACTCTAGCACAAAGATAATAATTACTCAGAATATGTCACTTCTGTCTTAGTTATCTAATGCTACTATAACATGGTAGGGTGTTTCTATCACAGAAGCTGGCAGACATGACAAATCAGGTGCTTCATCTTTCAGAGTCCACTGATAACATTCCTTGCCACACCACCAGACCTATGGTTTTTTTTTTAAATGAGTCCTGGGGTACCTGACTGCTCTCAAGGTTGAGAACCACTGAGCTAGGCTGAGTGTTTCAATTGGATAGTTCATACTAACTCTGTCCATGTCTTCTTGTCACAGTCTTAGCATGCATCACAAGAAGAATAGGCATGAACAGACTTCCTCTATTCTATTGCCCTTCCTGCCACTTCAGTGAAAGCCCCTTAGATCAAAGCCCTGCTCTTTACAAGTATGAGGTAGAAGGAATCTAGGCTGTGTGCACCAGTTCTATGTCACCTTGGAGTGGTGGGGGCTGCACTGAGGTTCAGCTAAGTGAAGGGGAGCAGTGAGTCCCCGAGTCACAGCCTGTATCACCAAGGCAGCTCCTGGTGCACCAAGTCAGCTGTCAGCTGTGATCACAAAGGTGGAGAAGCAAAGTGGGAAGAATTGGGCTCTAGCATCAGACACCTGGGCTCACACCCTAGCTCACCGTTGCTGGATGCATGACATGGGGACTCATCACTTCTCTCTGTTTTACTCTGAATAAAAGTACTCACCTCAGCCAATCATGGAGGCAAAGAGCCAGAGTTATAGTACAAACCCTATAAATAGTTTCTATGACTGGTTTTCCCTTTAGCTTGAGTAGAAAGTAATGACAGTTTCAATATTGCCGCTCATATTTTATGAGTGATGAATATTAAGGCATAGAGAGGGAAAGCAGATTGCCCAGAATCGCACACAGATTCAGCTACTAAAATAACAAATGCCTGAGACTCATCCCATTAGACAGTGATGGATCTTGCCCACACCTGAGAATGAACTTGTTTTCTTATTCTGGGCTGTTGTCTTCCTGATTTATTCCCAGTAGCTCCAGGATCCATAGAAGCAAATGAAAACAAAACCAAACTCACAATCATTGAGTCAATTCTGACTCATAGTGACCCCCATTGGTTTTCCAAGTCTGTAAATCTTTACGGAAGCAGAGTGACTTGTCTTTCTTCCATAAAGCAACTGGTGGGTTTGTACCACTGACCTTTTGGTTAGCAGTCAAATGCTTTAACCACTACACCATCAGAGAGTAACCATTAATTCAGTTACAATGATTACCAACTGGTTCTCCAGTTTATTGCTTTAATTTCTCTAAAGCAAACATCTGTTGGTAAAGGTATCATCCACTTTGATATTCCCTAAAGAATAAAGGCATTTTATGTGGTCTTTGCAGCACAAGAACCAGCAGCCCCATGGGAGATGGTGTAGAGATCAGATTTGCCAGGAAAAGAACAGTGGATTCTGTGAGCACCCATGGGGGTAGGGACTGGGGAGCAATCTAGATAAAACAGGTGACTGTGCCCCTTACCCAGGTACATGCAGACACAGGGACACTGCTCTCTGCCCTGGATGGAGACCTTACCCACAAGAAAAGATGATTTATTTAGTAAACATGAGCACAGTTCTCCCTATGTGCTAGGTATTGCTCTAGGCACATCCAAAGTACAAACTCATTTAATGTTCATGGCAGCCCCACAGAACACTGGCACAGAATGGCTAAACAACTTACCTGAGATCACACAGCCAGCAATTTGCAGAGCCAGGATTTGAACCCAGGTAGTCTAGATGCAAGGATGGTGTTTAAAATTGATTTCCCATGGAGAGAACCAAAACTGTATAGTTAAGGCTGCACACAGAGTTGAGCAAAGTTGGGCATGAACAGAAATGCAGAAAGGGTTCAGCAGAAATCAAAGTCACTAACCTTGACTACTAACCAGAAGGCTGGTGGTTCAAACCCACCAGCCACTCCTCGGAAGGAAGGTTGGGCAATCCTACTTCCAGTGATACTGCCTTGGAAACCCAAGGAGGGGTCGCTATGAGTCGGGGCTGACTCGAGGGCAAATAACAACAGCAACAACCTAGTGTCATGCAATGAATTGCTTTTCTTTTTTAAATTGTGATTTGGGTGAAAGAAGTTTCAATGAATTGCTTCTATAGCCATGGTCTATTGAATTGCCTTTCTAGCCATGGTCTTCTAACTTTCACAAAATGATTGGCTGGGACTATACAAATTGAATGACTTGCAGTACACAGGGGACATTGGTCGGTTTGTGGCTCTGGTGGGAGGGCCATGCCTTGAAATCAACAAGGGGTTTCCTTACATAGGGGCAATCCCATAAAGGGATTGTGAGACCTCACTACCATCAAGAAGAAGAGTCTGGAGTGGAGTGCATCCTTTGGACCAAGGACCCATGGTTCCTGTGCTGAGAATCTCCTAGACCCAGAAGAAAGAGCAAACACTGAAAACAGTGCAAGATAGTGAAAGACAATGGCAATGGGTTTGTTGGCCCATGGAGCAAGAGCTGAGCTCCTGCAGAGGCTTGCCAGTGGATCGAAAATGACTATAATACAGGCTTGTGCAGGGTAGAGACCTGAGTGTGTCCTATGCTGGGGTTGCATACCTCCCACCCTGGGCAACAGAGGCCTGAGTAGCATGATAGCAAGAGAGCTTCATAGGCCTGGGTAGCATGGTAGGAGCCAGCAGCAAAGGCCTGCAAGGGCTAGCAGCAGAGCACAAGCCTCAGAGTCATGCTGGCCACCTCGAGCAGTGTGACAGTAGCTGGAGGCAGTGGTGGTGTGAACACAGCATCTGACCTGAATCATGGGGCACCTGCCCAGCAACATAAGAATAGACATGGATAATTTGAGGAAGAGTAAGTGTTCCTCTTTTAAGAATCTGTTATTGTTTACTACTTGCTTTCTATAAATAATAATAATGGCTTTCAGTTTGCCAACACTATGTAAGTATCTTGTGTCCAGCCAGATCACAGATAATGTTGCACCTGTGGAATGGTTGATGTCAGTGGGCATATGTGTCTCATTCCTAGCACTCTTATGACTGCCTGGAAGTTTGAGACATGGCCTGTCTGCATATGCAGTGGGGAGAGACAGACATGTACGTACATCTAGGTTGGGCTGGGGGCAAGGGTGAGTCAAGGTTTCAAGAGCATCTGGTCCCCTAGACTAAGAGGTCTTCCTGAGTAGGTATGTGGCATCCCAACACCCCTGAGAAATGAAACTTATTGTCCCATTGTACAGACCTGGAAACCACAGTTCAGAGAAGTTAAGTGGTTCATCTGAGATCACACAGCCCAAAATGCAGGGCTAGGACTCCAACACTTCCTAGTTGTCCCTACACCCCACACTTCTCTCTGCATCTTTCAGCCTAGCCCAGATTTAAGCATTCAAGTGCAGGCAGATCCCAACCTCTGTGGTAAATGCTCACAAGTGCCAGGAGCGTGGCACTATGCTGGTGACCTTGTGCATGGCTTACCCCTGTTGTGCTGGTTAAAAACCAACCAGTTGCCATAGAGTCAAACACAATTCATGGCAATTCCTTCCTTGTGTGTCAAAGTAGAACTTTCCTCCATAAGGTTTTCTGTAGCTGACTTATTTATTTATTTATTAGAAGTCAGTCACCAGTCCTTTCTTTCAAGGCATTTCTGGGTGGATTTTTTGGTTAGCAGCCAAGTGTGTTAACATTTATACCACCCAAGGAAATAGTCTCACCCAGCCAGAAGGTGGCAGAACTGGATTCAAACAGATCTGCCCATTTGAGCCTAATACTCCGGGCTGCCTGGTGCATTGAAACAGGAGCCTGCTAGATTGAAGCCTCCTTGTGCCCCAGACTTACGTTCCCTGCCTTACCCAGGGGAGTAATGGCTTAGTCTAGCACCACATCCCTGGGCAGAGCTCCACAACTGTGTATGCATGACAGTGCCCCAGCCACCTCCTCTGTGAAACCCTTTAGGGAGCCTGATCTCACACCAGGTCCTCTGCCTGGAAAGAATGCCTGCACTCTTCCCTGTGCCTAGGCTGCCCCCTTGGTCTTAACCCCACAGTGCCCACAGTCCACCTTCTAGGAACCGAACAGCCAGACCTTTCCCAGCCATCTAATGCTCCCTGTGTTTGTGTTTTTCTATTTCAGGGATTTATCTCACTACAAGGGACCCAGGTGACCGAACTTCTTCCTGGTCCTGAGGACCCAGGGAAGCACCTCTTTGAGATCAGCCCAGGTAGGCCTGAGTGCCTTCAGCTCTGTGCTGGGCATGGTGCAGAAGTCTGAACGGGGAAGCCTGCTGCCCAGGCCTCGGGAAGCAGGTCTCCTCCAGGGGTACTCCTCCTCCAGGAATGATCACCTCTGTCTCCAAGCACAACTCAGAAATTTGCACCAAATCTACAGGATACTGCATATGCGAAGGGAATTAGAAAACCTAGCAATTATCCAGATCATTAGTCCCTCAGAATCTCTAGCTTTTAGGTAAGAGAAAATAACCACCAGGGAAGAATCAAGTCAATGAGGACATCTTAGGGTGAAGATAAAAATGCAGCACTTGGATCATATGCAAATGAGTCCAGAGAAAAATGTTAGCACAGATTCAGAATGTTAAATTCAAGCTTATAAATTCAAAAACAGATTTGGCATGTGGTAGGGTAAGAGGAAATAATTTGACCTGAGGAACTGCTATCCTTTTCATGGTTACAAAATAGTTTTTTGAAGTTCCAGTTTTAAAATGTGATTGTGTTTGAACTCAGTAAAGTGAGCCACTCTGCTGAGTGAGCCACTCTGTCTATAGAAGGGCTAGTTCTGCAGTTCAGTGGGGTATTAGTGTTGGCTTCCCCAAAGCAGAGCCTGAGACAAGGATTGGAATATAAATAGTCTATTTGGGAAGTCATCCTAAAAAGCCCTAGGAAAAGAGCAAGGATGGGTGTGGGGAAGGGAGGAAAGCCACTCAGGGTATGCTGCTATGGGCAACTGGGTCTCAGTTCCAATGGGCACTTCAGCAAAAGGTGAGAACACACTGTAGTGTTGTCTCACCGTAGAGTGAGAACACTGGGTATTGATCTACCACCTCCCACCAGCCATTCTTTGAAAGCTGCTCCCTGGGGAGCTCACTCTGGTCTTTCTTGCCTGCCCTGCCCATGGACCAAGTACCTTTCAGCCTGAAAAGACCCTTGGGTGGAGTTGCAGGAGCTTGGAGAAAGAACCTGCCAGTGTGGATGAAAACCAGTGCCAGAGGATCTGAGAAGGGTAACAAAGAACATCTGCTACGGGCAGTTAGTCACCATATCCTATCAGTATGCCAACCTACTTTAGAGTGGTGGCTGTTAACAGAGGATACTATTTCCCTCCTTCAAGGCTGTGAGCAATGAATGTGCAGTCTCAAGGCAGGGCCACCACACAGACCATGCTGATGAAATGACCTGCTGAGAGCTATGTGTCTGGGTCCCTTGCATGCCCTGCGATGGGGCATCCTAGGCTCAAACTAGCATGTGGTGGCGCATCAGGAGAAGAATTGAACCTATCCTAAGGGCCAGGAGCTCTGGTGGCATAGTGCCTAAAGCATTTGACTGCTAACCAGAAGGCTGGTGGTTCAAACCCACTAGCCACTCCTCCAAAGGAAGATTGGGCAATCTACTTCTGTACAGATACTGCCTCAGAAACCCAAGGAGGGGTCGCTATGAGTCAAATCGACTCGACAGCAGTTAGTTTTGTTTGGTTTATCCTAGGGGCCAAGGCCTGTTCATCTTTGCTGTGTCCACACCGGGAAGTCCATGAGAATAGGCTGGAGTCTTGAGTGCAGGAACTCCCTCCCCAATTGATGCCTCATGTACAAAATGCAGGTACCCGTGGTTTCCCTTGGGGAATTCCCTTTCATCTACTACAAGGTTTTGGCACCATAACAGCATATCTAAGGGTCGAAACAGGGTACTGGGGTATGGAGTAGAAAGTAGAGGCTTGATTAGCTGTCTAACAGTAGGACAGGTTTCTGCCATAATGATAGAAAAGAAAGAAGGAGGCCATGAAGTGGACAGGGCCCTGCCATCCTGAAAACTGGGGGAGAGGCCATGGTCTCTGGCCCTGGGAGTGTCAAGGAGGTGAGGCTAGAGCCAAAAGGTGCAGGTCAACAGAATCCAACTTAAAATTCAGAAAGGCTGAACTGAGCCTGTGTCCCAGGGACCAGGCAGGGAAATTTCCTGTGCACCTGCTGTCAGAGCCACTTACAAGAACCTCGTTGATTCTGGTAGGGAAGAAGACACTGAAATATTTCTGGGGATCAAAACACAGCAAATGGACATTAATAACAATGCTGTAATTTAAGATATCAAAGCTACCATTGATATCTGGGTGTGTTGCCTTTGTTTCATAGGCATGAGAGCTAATGGTGTGGCAAAGTTTTCATAGTTTTTCTCTTGCTTCTGGTCTCCTTCCACACTGTATTCTGCTAACTCCACCATGGATTTTAGGAAACCATCCCCAAAGGCTGAAGTGGGCCACTATACACTCCATGTATTGGATGAAGTAGTGTTGTGTCATACCATGACTGGTGTTGGTTAGTATCTTGAATAAACAATTGGGATCTTTAGGAGTTTGGGGCACACTCATTAAGTCACATGCACTGCTGCTGATCTCTCAGAACCTTGCGAGGAATCATTGATGCTGTTCCTTGTGAAAACTCTGCTCTGTGGTAGATGTTGTGCTAGGCCCAGGGAAGAGACAAATGCAACCACAAACAGTGCAGGGATGGTACCCACAGGTGGTTCAGTTGTAGGCACCATGGAAGCATAGGGAAGGCTCTTAATGTTTGCATTGTGGAGCACTCACATATGGGAGCTATGAGACTAATATTTATGGAGCACTCACTCTATGCCAGGCACTGCTCTGAGTACTCAACATGTATTGCCACCATCCTATAAAGAAGGTACTATTATTATCCCCATTTGCAATGAGGAAACCAAGGGTGATCAGCTTGCCAACATCTCATATCTGGTAAACTGCAGGGCCCAGACTGGAAGTGAAATGGTAACCCCAAAGCCCACACTCTTACTTGATACTCCTAAACCCCTCTTAACCAATGCCTCTCATCCCTGAACTGAAACCGGAGGAGAAATACAATCTGTACAAGGAAGGAGATGATAAATTAATCCTTTTGAAAGAGTGAATGAGCTTGGAGACAGCTAATTAGCACATTGTTGAGAGCTGTTCCAGGCTAGGCCCTCACTGGACATATCAAGGTGAAAGGAAGTCATCTGTGCCCTTAAAGGACTTGTGCAACCTTGTCTACTCTGGTACTCCTGTCACAGAGGTTTTGCCAAGAAGCTTCGTCCACTAGGTATCTGCCAGGGCCCCATTGCCATGCATCCAGCCCACACTGGATACTGTCATCTTGAGGGGAGGCAAGCATTCCACAAAAGTGCCAGGTCATATGGGCATAAGGGGTAGGCAGTGGGTAGTAGGCCTACCTTCTTCAGGACATGCAACCAGCATAGGAGGCAGACAAGGGCTGTGGGGAAGGAGGAGACCAATCTGGGGCTCCCCCAGGGTTGGTCTTTTCCTCTGCCTTATCCCCAAGTTGCAGTTTAAATCAAGTGGATTCCATCTCAGAGCCTACAGGCTTGATGCCAATTTGCTCTGTCACCCTTCCAAAATCTTTGTTCAAGACTGAGGTTTCCTCTCATTTTAAATAGTACTTTCAGGTTATGAGCTTTCTATTTCATTTAATACTTTTATGAGCTCTCTGTTGCAGCTTTAACAAATTACTACAAACTTAGTGACTCAAACAACTAAACTTTATTGCCTTACATTTCTGTGGTCAGAAGTTTAACATGGGTCTCATTGTGTCAGCAAATCAAGGTGTTGGCAGGGCTGTGTTCCTTGTGGACTAAGGGAGACTCTGTTTCCTTGCCTATTCCACCTTCTAGAGATTGCCCACATTCCTTGGCTTATGCCCCCCTTCCTCCATCTTCAAAGCCACCAACAGTGTGTCAAGTCCTATGTCACATTTGAGTCTCCTTTCTACCTCTTCTTCTTCCACTTTGAGAGGGAGGAAGTGGCTCTTGCTCGATAAGTGAAGTCACAGGAGGTGTGGGTGTAGTTGTGTCTTATGAGGACTGTTGTTGTCTCCCACTCAATTAGACACAAATTACAATTGAATAACCATCAAAAAACTAAAAGCCCATGGACGAAAAGCACACCATGTAATCACACAGGAACAGTAACCAAAAAGAAAGGGAGAAAAAACAAGCAAACCTGCAATATCTGGGGATAGGGCACTAAGAAGAAAAAAAGAAAAAAAAAATAGGGAAGGAGAATAATAAATGAAGAAAAATAGGAAGATTGCAAAAAGAAAAATAAGGAATGGGGTTAGTCACAAGAAAAAAAATGGGGAAAAGAAAAAGAACAAACAAAAACAAACAAACAAACAAAAACCCCTTAAATTGGGGGGGGGAGGGGCAGAATTTCAACCAGGCACAGGGAAAAGAAAAAAAAAAATGCTGAAAACTAGGACCTGGTAGGGGAAGATTAAGAAGAAGAATAAAAAGGACAAAGGTATTAATAATATTAGTTGGTTTGAAATGGACAAATACAAGCAAACTAATCACCGGGAGAAAGAAAGCAAAAAAAAAAAAAAAAAATCGGGGGGGGACTGCGTAGGGCACCCAGGCTCCATCTGAGCACACAGACTGTGATGGAGTTCTTGTGGGCCCAGAAAGTAGGTGGGAGTGGGGATGGCCACACCTCTGTTCACCAAGCGGGTGCAGGGTGTAGTAACAAGAAGAATGTCGTACCTTTTCAGTCTTGCAGGCCCCGAGTGTCCTTGGGGTTGCACCACTTGGCAGTGTCCAAGCTGTTTGTGCCGTCAGGGGCGCTCAGGTCCCTGCCAGACCACAGCTCCGTATGTCTCCTTTCTTGGTATTTTCACGCAAATTCTTCTGCTAGTTGGGGTTTAGTCTACTTCTGTATCCTTCCCTTCAAGGCTTAGGGGTCCAAGATTATCTTCTGTGTCTGTGTCAGTTGGTTTCCCTTTTCTTTGTTGAAGAGGGTCTGTGCGGTCCTTCTGCCTAGTCCGCCATCTTGTGGGAACTCTCCTCTTCTTCTTCCACTTTGAAGGATTCATGTGATTAGATTATCTGGCCTGAATAATCCAGGATATTCTCCCTATCTGAAAGGAGCTCTGGTGGTGCAGTGGTTAAGCATTTGGCTACTAACTGAAAGGTCAGCAGTTCAAACCCA